AAACGACATTACTTATGGGATAACCTAAATACATCCCAGACTCATGGTCATTTGAAATATCAAAGCAGCAAGTTATTGTTTACTTATTTATTTATTCAAACAAATTGCTGCTATATCGTTGAGTTATGATTCTCACATCGAAAATTACTCGAATATCTTATAAAACATTTTTAAATGGAAATAAAGTTACAGATAAGTTACTTTCCTGTTGCTAGCTGAAAAAACTTTACTTCTGAATGAGATCAATGGGGAATCCTTTGTTTCCAATATTTCTCGCAAGGCGCCTGGCCTCGGTGCTCGAAACATGTGTACGTTTGACGCCCCAGCCGAATTTACGGCTCACCCTGTGTCTCTTCCAAACGACTATACGCCGTTTTATAAATCTTCGCGAGGGTGTGGTCCGTTAGAAAGTGCTGTGCCTGGCAGTGATTTAATAATGACAGTGCTTTCACGCGAGGTTAAAGGATGTGTCTATTTTTAAGATATTGTTCGCTCTTGTCACTTACGAAAGAATGATTGTAGTCTAGGGTGAAACAGAATAAATTTTGATTTTTCTTCTTTCCAGGGAACAATTGACACCCAGCTTAAAAATTCTTGTACTTTGTCATTTGTATTTTATCGTCCACGATGTTTTTACTTTTCCATAGTAAAAACTTAATTCTCAAGCTGTTCTCGATTACAGTTAACCCTTTCGGCACCGAATTCCTTTTTTTTTTTTCAAGAATTTGTTGTTTATTTATCGATCATCGCGACTGTAATGGATACTAAATTCAGATCAATTTTTGTTTAAATACTCAAGTGGAACATATGCGTGCCGCTGATCAGGAAAGGGTTCAAATAAACTCGAAAAATCCTAATAATTAGCGATATCTCTGCGTTAATCACGGATGTGTTCAAAGCAGCCGCGAGATTAAATTATCAAATTTTCGAACATCGACGCATTTTCGTTTATGTTTGTGCTTCATATATATGGTGAGCCACGTAAAACAGGCCACCTAATTATGTTCCCTAGCTATGGTGATTTATATAGTAATTTAAACGGTTTCAAAGGGTGAACAATATGGATCAGACATTCACTGATAAACAAACTCTCATAATTCCACGAATCGTTTCTCGGAAAGTAGCCAAGGATCGAGCGAATCGTACGCGCACTGGAACTAATCGAAATTCAACCTATTCAGCCCGTTTGCTCCAGCCAGTAATTTCTTCGTTTAATTCTCTTCAATCGAGCACCGCGTAACCTATGAGAAATTTCGCATTCTCGTATCGGCACCGTTGCTGCAATTATCCAAGCCAGGATTGTTCCCCGATATTTGTTTGCACAGTAAAATGTTCTGCTAATCCTAATTACAAAAGTCGACTTTGGTGTGCGTTTAACATTGCGCTGGATTAATTGATGATTGAGGTAACGTTTCGGAACAGTATATTACAATAATGGAAAGTTCATGAATCAACATTTATGCGGGAAATGTTTTACCTTCGAAATGAAATTTGACTAATACACTACCGGCCAAAAGTTTCGAATCACATTCCACTTTTCATCAATATTAAATCTGCTGCTAATTTTTTATAGATTTCAAGTTTGTCTCAATTCTATTTTTATCAATTTATCTCATACCAATTGATTCGAACGATAAAAAATTCTCAAAGTCGCTGACTTTTTTCTGTAAATTTTTCTGTAAATTGCAATGCTCAGTGGTTCCAAACTTTTGGCCGGTAGTGTATTTTACGAGGAACGATAAAAAATTCTCAAAGTCGCTGACTTTTTTCTGGAAATTTTTCTGTAAATTGCAATGCTCAGTGGTTCCAAACTTTTGGCCGGTAGTGTATTTTACGAAATTTATTTATTTTATGCAAATTTTAATTGTGAAATCGAAGAGTGAAAGATTATCGTATTCTTTGGTTTTCACATATTTTCATATTTTTATACGTATTTCTGTTCATTTTGTGATTTTCTATTCATGATTATTCTACTCTCTCAAATTTTAAATCGTTCATAATTATTCTATTCTTCAAAATTTTAAATCATTGATAATTATTCTATTCTTCAAAATTTTTAATTATCCAATTCTTATTCTTATTTACGAACTTTCTGAATGATACAGCGAGTTTCGAATGTTCTGATTGAGCTTGAATTATTTTTAATAAAATAATCACTGAAAAAAAGAAAGGACGATAAATGAAGTGGGAAAGAATTTATGACTCATTCTAACATGTTCGGGAAGAAGTTTCGAAATCATGCGGTTACGAATCGACAGAGGATTTTCATTGTGTAAGAAACGGATCGGTTACATTGATTGAGCTAATTCGACGTGTGACATTGAATTGTTAGCTACGATCGATCAATTGGATCGACGATCCAGATTTATGGGCTGGCTAATTTATTAAGGGCGATTCTTAAAATTATTTTATGCATTGGACATCTCAGTTAAGTAATTTAATTAACATGTTATATACAATAATAATCGACATTATTTTATCCTCTTAATTTTCTTACTCAAAACAAAAATTTGTCGTGTTTAATGTCTCTTAAAAAGAAAAATTTATTATGCAAGGTAATTATTTGGAAATTAGGTAAATATATATCTACAATCACTCCCAAAAATATTAAACATACTAGAGAAAGCGAATGAAATCGTTAATTTCTATTTTAGAGCAGAAGTGTCAGTTTATCCGTTTATTAGATCGTTGTACCGTTCCAAGAATAGAGCGCAGAATTGTTCATTGATTGGAACATAAGTCTGCGGTTAGGTTGGACTGAATATTTATTTAATGCTAGTATACCATTTGTGCTAGCTGTCTATTTATCAGCTATTTAATATCTTCAATTGCACATCTGACCGAGATTCTAAAATTTAAACATTAAAAAATTTAATTAACAAAATTCTCTTTAAAAAACTTTCTTCGCTTATACACTTCGGGTAATAGTAATTTTCATTACGAAAGATAGTGGAAGGAAAAAGGAGCGAAGTAAAAAAAAAAAGCGGATAATTTTGGATATAACGAAGCCACTCGGCTGCATTATCGATCGCAGTGATCGCGGTCAGAATATCGTCCACCTCGAATGAGTCAAAGCATTCGCAAACACGAAATCATTGTACTGCCTTTGTCTTTGCCCCTGCGATCGAACCAACGATATAGGCCATTATGAAACGACAAAAGCAACGAATCCTCCTTCGTACTTGGCTTTGAAAATAATCCTAGAAGTGGTTGAGCTTTTAAGAGCAGATAGCGCTGCGAGGAAAACAGATTCGAGTGGATTCTTCTATCAACATTTGAATCAGAATTTTTCTCTTGCCAGATTTTGAATGATAAAAGTAATTAAGGTAAAATCATGTTCTCTTTAAGATTTATACTTGAACAAAATTTCTGTATACAACTATGAAGTTTGTTGTCTTCCTGAGTTTTATTTCAATTTTTCTGACGAGTCTAGGAATTTAACGAAGCGTATAACATATTCAGTAAGGAAATGTTAAATTTTTGAGAAGTAAAGATAAGGTTTTAATGATCTGAAATAGTTTGAAAATTAAAAATTAAAACTCAATTAAAATTTAGTTAGTGGAATAACTGATGCATAAAATTCGTAATTCGAACACTAAAATTATCCTACTCTTTTTCGATCATTTCTATTGCAACAAATCAAAAATATTTTTTGTTAATTAAGATTATTTTCCAGTAAGAATTTTATTTTAGGAAATATTCGGGGTGGTTATTTTATTTTGGTTCTTGTTAATACGAGCATGGACCACTTTACGTCTAATAGGAATGTAATGATAGAATTAAAAATACGGAATATGTACTTGAATGAATGAATTTTTGCATTTTGAATACATCTGAATTTCATTATTTTTCGTAATTACTAGATTAAAAAAGATAGGTTTATTGTGTATGATTTTCTATAAGATAACAAGTGGTATATAATGCGCTGTGCGTGTTCAGTAGAATAGGTATGATTATGTTCAGACATCGAGTCCCGATTGATACCTCCACAATGAATTCTAGCTTTTTCTTAAAAAAAAAAATTATATTTTGGTTTGTGTCACTTTATTTTTGTCTAAATTTTTTAACAAAGTTGAAACATTTCAATTTGATCATCAGACATTCGGGAAATGAAACCGAGAAATGCTAAATGTAGGATTAACTGAGATTAGCTTCTGTTAAATTCACGAACCAGTACTTTTCGTACATACTAAACACGATATAAAATATTGAAGCCTCGAAACTGTAATTTTCCTGAATTTAAACTGAATGATAAAAAATTTCCTTCAAATGATAAAAGTTATTTCCTTCCGTTCTGAAAAATTCAGATTTGGCAATTTTACCATTGGAGCATACTTTACAAACATACCCACTTTCACAAGAGAGTAACACTTCCATTTTCACTTACATAATATGTAAGTACATTCAAACATTACACTCGTTCAAACGATCATTTATCACACTTAACCCCTCACATTCTTCGTTCTTCTCATCGCAACTACCACTTCATTTGCCAGAGATCTCTCTTTAACTTTCTCGTTCCTTAACCCTAGACCACTGACATGAGAAATATGACCTTTCGTAATAGCATGCTGAAATCACCACAAAAGCTATTACCACACAGCGATAAAAAAAATTGCATCCCTTTTAAAAAAGTAGGGATAACCTTGAAATCTTCGCCATACCTTCATTCACGTAAAAAGTCTTCCTCCATGTCGTGCCAGTTTTGTTTATAACATTTTTCCATGTTATTAGAAACAGCAGAAATATTCCAGGTGGAAAAAGTTTTGTCCCACCCTGTGTATACTTTTCTTTTCACATTTTCTCTTTGAAAATTACTTAATTATTTTTGCTACAACTAAAAATTATTTAATTATTTTCGTTACAATTTAAAAATTACTCAATTATTTTTTGCTACATGGAGTACAGTGTGCTTCGCGTTGAATTGCCTCGGAATATTCAAGGAATTGGCCCGTTTTATTAGCCTCGTTTCTAATCGTCACTCTGTTCCATCCATTCAGACAACAGATTCCGACACTTTCGCAACGATCTTTATCTCGGCGATGATCCAATTTCAACGACACCGTCTGAGGAGAGGGCGGCGAGGGAGAGGCTGAGGGCGCGCAAGAGGATCGGCGAGTTGAAGAAACGTAGAAAAGCGAAGGAAAGGAGGCAGAGGCTGAAGCAAGCCACAGAGAAGTCGCTGGTGGCCGAATCGCCGCCGGCCACGCCACTCGCCGCGTTGAATGAAACAATAATGTCGAGGTTGGATCTGAGCTGCTTCGTGAAGGCGCGCAGAAAAGGATTTGCGAAAGCCCCTCCGGTTGAAAACGCGTATCCCGCCAAGTATGCCAGGTTCGTATCCCTTCTCAGATGTTACTCTTCCTCCTTTTTTCCTCGCAAAACGGAGAAAAAGAGCGAATGTTTATTACGTCTTTGCCTGTGGTTCTCGCTGAATTTCTTATTACATTATTTCCTTATTTTTTTCTGCTTATTTTAACGCTGTGGAAATTTTGATACTTGTCGCAAGTAGTTTCGTTGCTCTTTGAATTAACGTTTTTATTTTGTGTTGGGAGAAGAAATGTGTTTGATAATGTTGTCGCGTTAGAGACAATGCAGAGTTTGGCAAAGTTTGTGCAAACTTCGAGGAAAAGGATGTTTCTTGCATTTACATCGACTTTTTAATATTTGTTCGTTTTCATTATTTGATTAAGTTGAAGTATGTGTTAGAAACAATGCAGAGTTTGGCAAAGTTTGTGCAAACTTCGAGGAAAAGGATGTTTCTTGCATTTACATCGACTTTTTAATATTTGTTCGTTTTCATTATTTGATTAAGTTGAAGTATGTGTTAGAAACTATGCCGAGTTTGGCAAAGTTTGTTCAAACTTCAAGGAGAAAACCGTTTATTGCATTTGGCTTGATTTTTTAATATTTTTTTCTTTTCACTATTAACTTCGGTTGGAGTGTGTTTATTCGTCTTTTAGGTATTGTTTGACATGCACGCGGCGTAGTATTATTTAATATCATTGTAAAACGTAACGAAGTGCAACGGCGTTAATGGTATAATGTTACGTTTAATCCAATAAACATGGTGTTTCGTAAAATTAATATATAATTAAACAGTAATTAACGATAAAGTAAGTATACATTATTTATATGTACAATTACAGAAGCTACTTTAAATAAGAGAGCAACTAAAATGTTTCATTTAACATCAGCAACGTGTACAAAGTATTGATTTCCATTATCGAAATGAACACTATGTTGCGCCAGTTCAATTTGAAACCTGAGAATTATTAAGCTATTAAACGTAATTATAATTGAAGAACGAGATCCAGTATTCCATTACATATGTCAGTGTAAAATAAAAGAATAATCTTAAAAATAATCATTTCTCATGGTTTTTACGTAAGTATTGATTTTACGCCGGGATTTACGCTCGCATTTTACGAAACACTCTGTATGCAGATTCTAATCATCAAACCTCTCACGATCGGTGATTTACTCGAGACGATCTCGCTTATCAACATCCCTGTTATCATATTCCTGCGGTATGAGTTGAAATTACCTATCAAAGATCTCGGTACATCCTGCGCTTGGAAGTTACTCAATGAAAAGCCCCTATATCTGATCAAAATGGCACAAGGAGAGAATTCTATTCGAAGCTCGTGGAACATTTTACCTCGTAGATCCAAACCTCTGGCAAACCCTTTCGTAATTTGATCAACCATGTTCGATTGATTTTTCAGTTTGGAACATCTCTCTGTTTTTTTTTTATACCATTTTTCATGAAATTCCTCGACCAACTGAGCCACTTTTGTCTCAATCGATCCCTACCTTTTATCTTCGGTGTAAAAAACCGAAGAGTAGTTCCAATTTTTTTTTGCCTTTCTTATTTACTGAGTTTTTAAATATTTCTCGTCCTTGAAGAGTAATTTAAAGAACGCTGTGTATTTTTTGATAATAATAAAACCTGGTAACAATAAGTGCTTACATTAGCAGGAAAAAGCTTCTGACTAGAAAATTCTGATTTAATGTAACCTAAGAGCTTTTCCTTGCAAATTACTCCGTATATTAGATTTTTCACCGTTTTGTCGTTATTTAGAATTTTATTATCTTCTGTAGAGTTTTTCGAATAATTGTGAAAAATTTAGTCGACGCTGAATTATTTTGGCAAGATTTAAGGACATTTTTCACTGTTTCATCGTTATTTAGAATTATATTATTTTCCATAGAGTTTTTCGAATAATTGTGAAAAATTTAGTCGAAGCTGAATTATCTTGGCAAGATCACTTTTTTATCGTTATTTAGAACATTGTTACTTTTCACAGATTTTTTCGAATAATTGTGAAGAATTTAGTCGACGCCGAATTATCTTGGTAGGATTTAAGGACATTTGGTTAACGTAGCGTTTCGTTCGGCAAGAATTCACCGAGGCGAACCGTGTCGAACATCTAAATGTATTTTCCTGCGTACTATTTTCAGGAGAAAGAACGTTCTACCGCCGTACAATCGATACCTCGTGGCAGCTTACGAGTGCACCAAGGGATACGTTTTTGAGGACTCGATGGCTGATCGACTTTTCTGCAGCGACGGCACTTGGTTAGGCGCACTTCCGCGTTGCGTAAAAGTGGAAGGTAAGATGACGCGGAAGTAAACGCGATATTTTTTCGGAAAATATTTCTCCCTCAGATTACAGATAATTCTATTTGTATCAAATATCTTTTCATAAAAAAGTATATTCAAAATTCGTAGCATCACATTAATTCTTTGCTTTTCAACCCCTTGACTTATGATTTTTTGATCATTCTCAATCTTACAAATTGAAATTTTCAGAATTGAAATTTTTCTTATCTGTTTCTGTCACCGAAATCTATTTTTCGTCGAAATTTTCACTAAAATCGGTACCACTAGTCCGATTTAATCGATTTTTACCACGAATGAAAAGTAACGAGAAATAATTTTCAAACGGACCGAACAAATAAAGTGAATATTACGAGATTTTAATGGGATTTTGGAAATGATGTTGTAGAATTGTGGAACAAAATATTGAAATTAATTGTTTTCA